GCACTTCATTAGCATAATATGGGGAAATGGTTGGGGACTTTCTATAGCCGTTAAGGGAGGGGGGAGGGCCTGTGCCGGTTCCAGGAACAAAGGGCTGTTTGCATCCGGGTTCGACATGGGCTGCCGTTAGGTTCTTTCCTGATTGGTCAGTTTGTAATTTCTTCTTGCTCAATCCTTTACCCACCTGACTTGCTGTGTTTCCGCCTGACATTCCGGCTACTTCCTACTGGACAGGGTCAGAGTAGGGTTATAAGCCCGAGTCTGGGGATTGGGTCGTCGGTAGGCACGTGTACAGGTGTAGGAATAACTGGTTGACAGTTACTCTGGACGTTTCTTTGAGTTGGCTTTGGAGGAATCTAAGTAAGCAAGGGGCGAAAAGAAAGAAAAGACTTATTAATATAAGAGGTTCTATAAGGGGTATTAACCAAGCTATTAGTGGTGATCGGAACCACTCAAATGGTGAGGCTCTCGTTCGGTGTTTATTACGCAATTCTTCACTCAATCGAGTCAGTGTATCGACGTTTTGTTCCACCAGACCGGATTCATTGATGTAGTAACAGCGCTCTTCTCTAAGAAAGAGGCAGGTTCCACCTTTTCCAGCTGTTAATAGGTCCAGGGCTCTTCGATTCTGTAAAGTAACTTGGGCCAGAGAGGTTAGCTGTCGTTGGAGGAAAGCTAAGGAATCTGCAGTGGTTTCTAGAGTGAGGGTGGCACCTAACTTACAAAGAAGGTCCCTTCTTAAAAGTGGAGTGGGACAGGTGGGCATAATTAAAAAGGAGTGGGTTAAAATCTTACTGTCTGTGAGACATGTAACAGGGCCTGTTGTCTGAAGGTTAGAGGGTCGCCCATTGATTCCCATAACCGAGACTGGGAAGGGAAATGCTTGTCCCAAGAAGGAGGGAAGGACAGCGTAGGTAGCCCCCGTGTCGACCAAGAAGGATGTCATCTTACCCACTACCTTAAATGTTACCCTGGGCTCAGCGAGAGTAATTGGGGTCGACGAGTCGGGGCTCCTTCAGTCTTCAGCTGCCAGACCCAGAACAGCCAATGGCGGGTCGGGGGGTGGAGAAGTTGGCCCCCCGTATCTTGGCACAGAGGGACAGTCACTTTTCCAATGTCCCATATGACCGCACGCCGGACAGGGCCTGGAAGGTTGTCGTGGATGTGATTGGCAGTGATTGGCCCAAAGGCCTTCCTTCCCACGTTTAAAGCAGGCTCCAGGTGGTAAGTTGTTTCTGGCTCCAGGTGGTAAGTTGTTTCTGGCTGGTCGTGTGGGTGCTCCTGGCCTCAGGGCTGTCCCCAAGGCTTGGGCTTGTAGACTGGCCTCCTGCTGAGTCCGAGTCTCCCTGTCTGCCTCAGCCCATTCCTCCCGGGTGTTGAAGACTTTAAAGGCCATATTCACCAAGTCTCAGATGGGAGTCTGGGGGCCCTCTTCTGCCTTTTTTAGTTTTTTATTTAATATCTGGGGCAGGCTGGGTGATGAAATGTGTGGCTAAGACAGTGGTTCCCACTGGGGAAGTGGGATCTAAGCGGGTGTATTGCATAAGAGCTTCAGTGAGGTGGTTAAGGAAAGCCGCAGGGTTTTCATTAGAGTGTTGAGTAATTTCTCTCAGTTTATCATAATTAATGGCTTTGTGTGATATAGCCTGTAAACCCGCTAGGAGCCATTGGAGCATTTTGTCCTGCGAGTGTGGCCATTGTGCCCAGATTGGGTATCTAGTTGGTACTCCCATCCAGGGTCCTGCCCAGGAATGGCTTCTGGACCCACTGGCATGGTATGGTTAAATGGGTTTGGTTGGCATGCTCCTGAGCAGCTCCAAGAACCCGCTCCCTTTCATAAGAGTTTAAAGTGACGAGGAAGGGATGACATAAATGTCATGCCAGGTTAGGTCATACGCTTGAGAGAGGTAACAAAATTCCTTAATGTAGGTGGTGGGGTCGTGAGAAAAGGAACACAGACGTTTCTCAATCTGGGATAAATCGGTGAGGGAAAAAGGAACACGGACATGGATAATGCCTTCAGAGCCAGCTACTTCACATAGTGGACAAAGAAGGGGCTGTTGAGAATAGGTGTGGCTGCTTACCGGGGAGGGTAAGGAGGATTCAGGGGAAGTGGCATCTGGAGACGTTGGAGGACGTGTAGGTGGGGGTGACGGAGAGGGTGCGGTAGGGTTAACTGGAGATGGAGATGAAAATGCATGTTCCAGATAAGGGGGTGGTCTATGAGGTGGGGATGAAAAAGATTCAGGTGGATTAGAAAAAGAGGAAGTCAGTTCAGGGGGATTGAGAGGAGTTGAAGAGTTTTTAGAAGGGGTTCGGACATGAGTTTCACAGGCTAGGAGAATTTGAGTGGTATTGCAAGTAGAGCAGAGAGAGGGACGGGAGCGCAGGTAAAAGAAAGCTTGGATGTAGGGCCATTTGCCTGTGTGACGGCAGAAATTACCAAGATCAGTGAGAATATTAAAATCAAAAGTTCCTTGCTCAGGCCACCAAGAATCATTATCTAGTGAGTGTTGGGGCCAAGCAGTAGTGCAATAGAAAATTAGGCATTTGGAACATAAGTCCTGAGCCAGCCCCAGGGCATCAAGATTAAGTAGAAGACACCCCAGAGGAGTAGTAGGGTCCGGTCTAGACTTCTGGTTACCCATGATCCTTTAAGTCCAGATGTGAAGGCTCTGTTAAAGGACCAGTGTGCTAGCCGCTTTGTCAGAACCCTGGTAATGGAGACTGGAGGAATACAGGGACGTCTCTGCCGTATTTCTCAGTCTAGAACAGCTGTGCCATGGAAAGACAGGGAATCCAAGGCGTCCCCAGGATGTCTCCATCTTTGGAATGGGAGAGCCTCTGACGTAGGCCTACGGTTTTAAAATGGGCAGAGGAACAGAGGCTCTGGAAATGGAACGGGACCTAGGATCTAAGTGCCCAGAATGGAGAAACTAACCAGAATGGGGAAACTCACCAGTGTTGAGTGATGGCGGCTGGAGGTTCCTGGTCCACAGAGGAGGAGGAAAAGGGGGGGGGGGAATGCAGCACTCTGTTCCAGCAGAGATTACTTGCACCACGACCCCCTCCTGGGTTTCGGCACCAGAGGTAAAGTCGTAGAAAAGAGGAGAGGACGTGTGAAGAACGGGGTTAAGAAAAATTTGTTCTGCGCTCCCAGGCAAGGTTCACGGGTCCCTGAGAGGGGCCTGAGAAGTCGCCACCTGGACGGGAGGGAGAGGTTTATGTAGTTGTTTTTTCTCCCTCCCCAGCTGACCTGAGTGGAAGCGGAAGGAAAGAGGTAGGAACCAATCAGGTGGAAGCACTTCATTAGCATAATATGGGGAAATGGCTGGGGACTTTCTATAGCCATTAAGGGAGGGGGGAGGGCCTGTGCCAGTTCCAGGAACAAAGGGCTGTTTGCATCCGGGTTCAACATGGGCTGCCGTTAGGTTCTTTCCTGATTGACCAGTTTGTAATTTCTTCTTGCTCAGTCCTTTACCACCTGACTTGCCGTGTTCCCACCTGACAGTGTGTAGATTCAAAAAACAAAAAAATTGCAGCTTCATGGAGAGTTGGAAAGTTTGGGCATAGGTGTTCTTTCACTGCTTGGCCATGTCCAAAAACCAGAACCCAGAACCACTGCTATTGAGTCAATTCCAACTCATAGTGACCCCCATTGGGTTCCCAAGGCTGTAAATCTTTACAGGAATAGATTGCCTCATCTTCCTCCCACGGAGCAGCTGGTGGGTTTGAACCACCAGCCTTCTGGTTAGGAGTCAGATGCCTTACCCACTGCACCACCAGAGCCCCTTTGACCATGTCAGGAAAGGTGAAAATTTAATCATTGTTGGAAAGACATACAGGGCTGATGAATTTGATGTTTCTAACAAGAAAGAGGAAGCAGATTGGTAAGGATTAAGCTCTGGAAGTTAATGAAGACCTCCTCGTGGCCTCGGCATCCCCAGCTTTTGCACTGTAGGACTTTTGTCTGTTTTATCTTCCATTTGTCCTACTAGGTGTAGTCGCCTAGACGCCTGTGCTGCCTCTGTTCAAATCTCATCATCCCCAGGGATTTGCAGAGTGCTGCAGGCCAATTGCCTACTCATTCTGTGTTTCATTTTCCTTGTCAGCAGCACAGGGGTAATCATTTAAGTACCTTCTGGGGTTGTTGTGAGGATTAAATGAGTTTATATGTGCAACACATAGAATATTGCCTAGCACAACCTATGTGCCATAGAGAAGCTCTTTGGCATCTAATATGTGAGTGTTTCTTCTCATCGTCACCATCACCACCACCGCTGTTACATGACTCAGTGATTCCCCTGGACTTGGTCTCAGCTCTGTCTGATTTCTCCTCCATCCTCTCCTATTATTCCTGCTTCATCTTCTCTTTCTCCTTTTAGATGAGGAGTTTGGATTAGAAACCCCACAACGGGCAATTGCTGAAAAAGCTGATCGCAATGATGTGATGGGTGAAGTCACGAGAGACAATCCATGGTGGTGTTCCATTGTGGACGAGCTGTGGCAGGATGCTGACCAGAGGGAGCGAAATCAGGAAAATAAAAGTGAACCTGTGCATCGTGGTGCTTTCCTCAGCAAGCCAGGATTGAGTGGAGAGAGAGATGGTGATGACTGCAAGGGCACTGGGAAAATCATTCACACAAGGCTCCTCTTTGTCACTTCACAAAAACGAGCTCCTAAAGCTTGCTCATGTGCAAAGACTTTGAAGCATAACCTAGAAGTAAACAGTCAAAATAAAAGCAATATCACAAAGCGCCCTGCTAAGACTATTGGATCTAGTCATCTTTTAACCCAGGGTTCTTCTAATAGTGGCTATAAGAATATCTGTGCAGGAGAGAACTTCTGCAAAGGTGATCAACATAGAAGAGTCCTCAGCCATAAGCAGGTACTCATGCATCATCAGGTACATACCAGGGAGAAACCCAGTGAATGTACTGAGTCCGAGAGGGTCTTCACCCAGAAGTCATTCCTCCTGACCCAACAGAGGATCCATAGTGTGGAAAACCTCCGTGAATGCAGCAGATATGGAAAAGCTATCACTCCTAAGCCCCAACTGGGCGTTTATCTGTCAGTTCATACAGGTGAAATACCTTATATATGCACTGAATGTGGGAAAGTCTTCATTCAAAGGTCAGAATTCATTACACACCAGAAAACTCACACTAGAAAGAAGCCCTATAAATGCCATGAATGTGGAAAAGCCTTTTGCCAGACGTTATCTCTGTTCAGGCATCAGAGAACTCATATGAGAGAAAAGCTCTACGAGTGTAGCGCGTGTGGGAAAGGCTTCTCGCAGAAATCAGACCTCAGTATACACCGGAACATTCATACCAGAGAGAGACAGTATGCATGTGGTGAATGTGGAAAAGTGTTCTCACAGAAGTCGACCCTTAGCACGCACCAGAGAATCCACTCAGGAGACAAGTCTTACGTGTGTATCGAATGTGGACAAGCCTTCATCCAGAGGGCACACTTGATCATACATCAGAGAACTCACACTGGAGAAAAACCTTACAAGTGCCACAGCTGTGGGAAGTCCTTCATCTCCAAGTCCCGACTCCATGCGCACGACCGAATTCATACAGGGGAGAAGCCTTACGAATGCCACGACTGTGGAAAAGCCTTCTCTCAAAAGACACACCTCAATATACACCAGAGAATTCACACCGGAGAAAGACAGCATGAATGCAGTGACTGTGGGAAAGCCTTCAACCAGAAGTCCATACTCATTATGCACCGGAGAATTCACACTGGAGAGAAGCCTCACCAGTGCAATGACTGTGGGAAGGCCTTCATTTCCAGGGCACAACTCAGAGAGCATCAGCGAATTCACACGGGAGAGAAACCCTACGTATGCACTGAGTGTGGGAAGGCCTTCACCGGCAGGTCCAACTTCAATAGACACAAGACAACTCATGCCGGAGAGAAATTTTGCAAATGCAGTGGTCCTGGGAAAGGCTTTGCCCAGAACTCAATTCTCAATATGCATCAGAGTATTCATAAATGAGATACACTCTTTTTTTAATAGAAATTCTTCTCATAAGATTTAAATCTAATTACATGATAGAGTTTGTGTTTCAGAAAAACTCTAGGGCTGTATTAGATGTGTGAACACTTCACAAAGTCACACACTATTCTATGGGAGGGAAGTTTTCAGAAAAAAAACTTTAAGAATACACTGAAATAAGGGAATTTGTTCATATATTTGTACTAGCCTTGTTAAGGATCATAAAAAGCAATCTTGACTAATATATTGGGAAAAGCCTTTTTTATAAAAAGTCTTAGGCAGATTGTTACTAAGTTATCTACAGGAAAGTTTGTTGGAAATTATATTAATGATAAACCTGTTTATTGTGAAATATTTAAGTGCCAGCAAACTAAATGATAGACTCTCAGTTCTGTGGTTTGCTGCAGTTGACTGCATAACCCAAGCTCTAGGTGGGTTGTAGGCAGTAACAGAGGAATTGAGGAACAAATGACATATGGTACAGACAGAAGACAATAGCTAAATGCCAGAAGTCTATCCTTATTGACAGTTACTTTAAATGTAAATGTATTAAACTCTCCACTTAAAAGATAGAGATTGGCAGAATGGATTTTACAACATGCCAAGAGGTAAAAACAACCCAAGTGGACATCCTCAAATGAGTGGATGAAGTTAGGACACATGTTACCACATGGATGAGCCTTGAGAACATTATGCTATGGAAATAAGCCAGACAGAAATGGAGTAATGGGTACAAAGTTTCTGTTTGGGGTGAAGGAAAATCTTGAGAAGTATAGTGGTGACTGCACAACATTGTGAATGTAATTAATGCCCTGAATGGTAAATTTAGAAATACCAAACCTTGTATATATTTTGCTACAAGAAAAAAAATAGTTTAAAAATTATATAAGATTTTCACATTTTAATATGTATGAAGTTTTCCTGGGGAGAAAAAAAATGTTAAAAAAAAAAAAAACAGAATGGAGGTGGAAAGTGGGTATTTGTTGAGATTAACCAAGAATGGCAGAATATTGGTATTTGTTGAAACTGGGAGATGGGTACATGAGTGTTCATCAGTTTTCTCTGACAAAATATAAACTTTGTATATATTTTTAATTTTCCACAATTAAAAGTTTAAAAGGTATGTTATTTTAAAAAGTGCTGTTATAACTACATCCGAGAAACAGAATAGCAAAATCTTTAAGTGGACAAGCTCAGGAACCACACACTTGGCTTTGATTCCTGGCT